GATTTAAATTATCCATTTTTTTTCCTTGTTTTTCTTTTATTCTTTCTTAATTTATGATATGTTAAAAGTTTTTTTTTTTTTTTTTTTTTTAAACAAAATTATAGATGTAAGGGTACGAACAAGTGAAAAGTATCGTATGGTATACACTGATTATCAACGATTGGAATTGGAGAAAGAATTTCGTACCTCACAATTTATCAATTCGGAACGAAAATCACAACTTTCATCTCAATTACAACTTACCGAACGACAAATTAAAATATGGTTTCAAAATCGGTTAGTTTCTGTTTTTTCATATGATAAGAAATTTGGGATACAAATGATAATGCATGTTTGATTTGTTTTTGTTTTTAAGAAAACAATTCGATTAGTAATTTTTTCAATAAACTTATATTTATATGCATTATTCATTTATATGTAATTTGCTAATTAATAGTTTAAATTTTAATTTTTAAAAATTGTTTTGAAAAGATTTGAGAAAAAAGACGATAATATGAGCGAGACAATAAATGAAATGGTATTAATATTTGCGAGAAAGTTTCTTTGATCAAATATAAAACTATGAAATTCGTAAAAATTATAAAATTTTATTTTATTGTTATAATTATTTCATCACTATAATTTCATTTTATTAATACACTATAAAATTATACAAATTATAAAAATTATAAAATTCAAATATAAAATTCACCAAAATAATTTGCGTAAATTTTGGAAGTCTCTGTTATACTTTTTTTTTTAGTTTAGAGATTTTATTATAAATAGATAAATTAATTAATTGAATGCAGGAAATTTACACTATCTAATTCAATGATTACTTACATAATACCTCTTTTCTTTTTTTTATAATTAAATTAAAATATTCTCTTTCTCATTTATAGCAAAGATGATATTTGTAATATTAAATTTTAATATGCAAAAGATTAATTTTAATTTAATTCATTCATTTCATTTCTTTTTTTACATTTGTCGATTAAATTAAAATTTTGCTTATATATCATTGAAAAATATGCAATAGTAATGAGGATAAATATCATAAATTAATTAATAATATTTTAACCGTACCAAATATTTCATTGATCAAGATAATGAACAATTATTACATGTTTCATTAAGGTAAATTTGTCTCTCAGAGATAATATCACATTTTCCTTCTTTTTCCTTTCTTACCATTTCCGCTTCTAACTTCAACCTAATCATATGATAGGTGAAAAAGAGATGATATCAGATGAAGAAGTGAATAAGCTGTTTGCTAAAAGGTTGCGACAATTACGCAATACAAAAATTTTGATTTATGTTTTGGGACAATTGCGCATAGAGATAGATATGAATTGTATAATAAAAAGTTGATCTAAGGATAAAATACACAAAAGGATAGTTTTCCTCTTTTTCGTTTCTTTTTCCTTCATCAATAATTTTTGATAGATTATTTTAATATTTTGTAAAATTTTATCTGACAAAAAATAAATGGATATTCATTGTTTGATAATATTATCACTATTATTATTGTTATTTATTATTATTATTATTATTGTTATTATT